GAGATGGGGCAGAGCTGGGGGCTGCCGATGTTCATTGTGTGGTCTCTGCATAGACCCACAAACTCTAGAGGGAGAAAGCAAGGTATCACCCGTAGCTGCAAAAGGCTCAGCCCCCCGGGGTCCAGAGAAAATTATACAAGTGGTTGAGTCATTTATTCCCTCTCTCCTCCCCTTAACCTAGTTCTGTCTTGCTGCTGTTAATTTTACCCATCCTTTTGTAGATCCATTCCGCTTCAACCCAGCTGTTTATCCATCCCTGCCTTCATCTGCCCTGCTGTCATCCATCCCTCCATGCATGTGTCCATCCATCCATTCATTCCTCCATGCACGTGTCTGTCCACCCATCCATCCATCCATTCCTCCATGCACATGTCTGTCCATCCATCCACCCATCCATTCCTCCATGCATGTGTCCATCCACCCATCCATTCATCCATTTATCCTTCCATCCCTACTGTTTTTCATCCATCCCTGCAACCAACTATGACCCATTTCCTCCCTCCCACCATTTAGGCTCTTTTATAGACCCATTCTCTCCTCCTCCACCCATCCATCCATCTCTCCTAGCACCCTTCCCTCCATCCAGCTTTATTTGCTGAGTCAGGAGCTGAGACCACAGAGGAAGTAAGAGACCATCTCTATCCTCGAGGAGCTCAGAGTCTGGTAGAGGAGAAAAACCATACAAAACAAAACACATGCGACACTCTGATGACTTGACCACTTAGACACACAAATTGTTAGTGGAGCCCAGAGCCCAATCATGCCTGTGCAGGTCTTGTGCAGACAAGAGGAAATGTTGAAGGAAGATTTTGAAGGATGAGTAGGAGTTTGCCAGGAGTTTTGGAGAGTGGGAGAAGAGGTAGAGTTCAAGGTTAGGAAAGGAAGAAGGGGCTGCCAGGCGGAGTGAGCAGCCGTGAGGTTGGGCCAAGCATGTCGCGGCAGGTGCGGGGGCATGTCGGTCCCAGTGAGTTCAGTGTGACTGTGGTGTCTGCGAATATTGTGAGGACCTGAAGGCCCCCTGGAAAAGACAAGTGGGGCTCAGATGATCAAAGGCCCGTATGTAGGCAAAGGGAAGCCAGGGGACCCACTGATGCCAGAGAGAGACACATCTCTGGGCTCCGTCTGACAGCAAACCAGGGGGCAGTTTGGAGGGAACAAGGCCACAGCCTAGCAGACCAGCTAGGAGCCCGTTTGCAGCAAGCTGATGGGCAACACTAAGGCTCAGTCCAGGCAGGGAGAGGCAGGGGCCACGGAGAAGGAAGGTCACGGGTGACTTTGGACATGTGAGATGGTGGAAAAACAAGGGCTGGGAAACCAGAGAGGAGTCTGTGATCTGGGTACCATGTTTGGGAAGACTCGGGAGACTGTGTCCTCATGGCACGCACACCCCTGGGTACGCGTGATCCATTTTGGTTTAAAACTAGAGCGGGTGGGACGCCTGGGTGGCTCAGTTGGTTAAGCGGCTGCCTTCGGCTCAGGTCATGATCCCAGCATCCTGGGATCGAGTCCCACATCGGGCTCCTTGCTCAGCGGGGAACTTGCTTCTCCCTCTGCCTCTACCTACCACTCTGTCTGCCTGTGCTCATGCTCTCTCTCTCTCTCTCTCTCTAATAAATGAATAAAATCTTTAAAAAAAAAAAAAAAAATCAGAGGGGGAAACATCAGCGTCTTGGCTGGGTCTCATCCAGGACGCTGAAGTTCCTTCTCAGGACTTTTCTCACAAACTGAGGGCTGGTTTCCCACACGCAGCGTGGCTTCGTTCGGAAGGAAGAAGAAGATCAACGCTTTGAGCTAGACCTCAGACAACAGGAGAACTTGGCTCCTAGTCGCAACGTTCCTTGCCCTTGATTGAGCGCTTCCTCTGCTTCATGGATTTTAAGGCACTCTTTCTTTGATTTTTTTCCTATTTTAAGGTCTCCAGAACCAGGATGTGTCACTACACGTAGTGTTGCATCATAATTCACTAAGCGAGGCCCTCGAATAATGGTGCTGTTATCAGCCCAGGAGTCTTAAGTCAAGAAACGGGGCAGTGTGTGCCGGGCTCTCCGGGGTCCTGTCTGTCTGTCCATCTTTCATGTGATCCTCACAACATCATAAGAGCTATCTGCTATTGTTTGCGGTTTCCCAGATGAGGACTGGAGGCCTGAAGCAGGGAGGTCACATGCTCACAGTGACAGAGCCCATCAGAGGCTCTCAAGGCGTCTTTGTTCAAGGCAAAAGCGAGCCTTGGGCTGAGAAGGTGGTGGCTTTTCCTCCCCACAGCCAGAGACAACCGGGTCAGTGGTGAGCACCGTCTCCCAGTGCACCATCTTCCAAAGCCCCCTCTTGTTACTCAGCCCTTTCCCCTTCTTGGCCCTAAACCCTGGGATTCTCTTCCCGCTCCCAGGAGGGCTCCCGCTCTGACATCTGTGGTGACCCCCCCCCCCAACTCCCCGGAAAAGAAAGGGCCGGAATGAGATCTTGGGAGAAGTGGGGGGTTGGGCGGGGGGGAAAAATTCTGAGCCCAGCTGGTTTCCCTCACATAATGCAGATTTGCTTAAATGGGAATTAGGATTAGTGCTGGATTTTGCCTTTCCTGGCACACCAGTAATAAACTAATCTCCTCTCAGGCTGCAGCAAGGCAGAATTCCATCGAAGACGGGAGACAGCTTCAGGCTCAGGAGTGCAAAGCCTGGAAAGTAATTTTATTATTAACAGGCTCTGCCCACACCGCCTGACACACCGCCCGCAGCTCCCTCCCGACGTGGCTGCAGCCTCTAATTTCGTTAATGTGTGACATTCACCCAGGCTGCGTGGCTGATGGGCACGCTTGACATTAATACGTGTTCCTCATGGTCCCCAGAGCTCATAAAAGCTCATTATCAGTTCTGAGCCTGTAAATGTAGTTCCCGGCTCAGGTGGGCCCGAGTTCTTCAGACATGTCCCCAGGCAGTGGACCAGTGGCCGTCTTGTGGGAGCCAAGAGATAAACGTCTCCCTCTGTCTAGGGGACTTGGCCTTCTAGGCTACCAGAAGGTGACCAGAAAGACAACTCGGCAGGCAGAAGAGCCCATGGTGTAGATTTACATCCAAGAAAAGGGGACTCCTTCTGTCCTGCTCTCTGGGGGGAATCGATCCACTGTTTGGGGAAAGTGGTTTGTCGGAAGCTATTCAAATGTGGACACACTTCCAGGCGTCCAGGCTGTGGACTTGCTCGAACGTTCCCACGTGGTGATGTAAGTGGGGAGGGGATGGTAGCAACAAGGTTGTAGCAGCTGGGAATGGAAATATCCCACGTATGTAAGGTGGGAGAGCTGAATAAATGATGGTCCACACCTAGAAGGAGGGCAGAAGACTCCAGAAGGTCTCCGTATTCTTGGATCCATGGGTAGACCTCATGGCAACTGCTAGCTGGGGATGCAAAATGTGTGTGGTAAGATCCCACTCGTGGAAAGTGTGTGAATCCCACCATCTCCATGGGGGCCCATGCAGGCACGCTCTCTTTCTCTCTCTATCACTCACACACACACACACACGTAAATGGTTGCATAGAAGAAAGCCTAGAGGGTCATGTTACAGAGATTTTGTAGTGGTCCTATGAACTACAATGGATGGATAAGGAAGAATGCTCACTTTTGTAGTTACAATCAAAGCTATGTACATGTACATCTGTATCCCCAGCCATAGGTCCGTGCCTTTGTCTAGGGATGGATATGGGTATGTGTATGTGTATAGATCATGAGTTCCTTTGATTGTAGCCTAGGTCTGCTCCGTGATATGTGATGTTTCCTGGGTCGACTCTGCCTGGGTGGACTTTGGAGGCAAAGAAAGCCAACTGGGGTCATGTCCTCTGGCCAAGCCCTGTTCCCTATCAGTTTGCAGGGTGTCCCGAGAAGTTGCTGTCTGCGCCATGTGCACTGAGCTAGGATCCGTGGAGCAGACCCGGAGCTCGTTGCTCTTGTGCCTGTGTCTCTCCCCGCAACCCCATGGACATGGTACTGACGCCAGGTTTGACCTCCCACAGAGACCTGCCTTCTAGTCCCAGCTCTGCTGCATTTGGGCATGATGACCTTGGGCAAGTTATTTAACTCCTCAGGGCTTGTGGCCCTCATCCCCAAAGCGGGGACACTGTCTCATGGGATCGTCGACATCAGCGTCTGAGACAACGTGAAACTTGACCGCAGCTTCTATGGCGCGGCCGGTCCTGAAGGGTGGGAGTCTGGGAGATTTGGGGTCAGGGGACTCGGCTATCCCATCTGTGCTGTCAGCTCTGCTCTTTTGTTCCTCGGCTGTGCATGGGAACAAGCCGGTCCCCCAGGGCTGGCCTCGGCCCAGGCTGGCAGGTATGCGGCCTGGACGTGGCGAATTTGATCCTTCTCCTGTGACCCGGGAGCTCTCCGTCAAACTGACAGAGAGGAAGTGGGGGAGAGGCTGGGCTTCTGGCCCCCGCACTCAGGGGCTGAGTTGTTTTTTTCACTACCGAAGACCTCTCTTCTTTTCTATCTCTTCATGGATACCAGATCTGGGAAATGTTGGTCTGCCCCCAAAGCCTGCACTCATTAAGCCATGATTAATTCTCCTTCGCATTTTCACCATTACTCAGAAAGCATTTTTTTCTTTTTCTTTTTTTTTTTTTTTTCCTGCCTGAGGAGAGTGGAGTTTCTAGGATGGGTTGGTAATGTTCTAGCCAGAAGCAAAGACGTGTGATGTGATATTGTGATTAGCATGCGTGATGTCATCACGCCACACTGTACAAGCTCCTGGGCTGATTTTGGAAGACTGAAAATATGTGCCAGTCTGTAGGCTCTGGGTACACCTCCTGGAAGCCTCTATGAGGCTGGGTGCTTGATTCTGTCTTTCTGGCCACAGCCGCCCCATCTGGCTTCTGTACCTGCAGAGAGAAAATGAGAGAGCAGGAACCTAGGCAACAGAGACATGCCTGAACTGAGGTAGTCCCCAGCAGCCACAGGCCCCACTAGCTGCTGCCTTTTTAAAATTTATGTCTCTTTCTTCTCCTTCTAGAATTTATCCTGAAGCCATCGAAAGGACACCTCAAGAGAATCCTGAGTCTCCTGGAAGGAACAGACACCAGTTGAAACAGGTATGGTTTGGCCACATGGCAACATGGCGGCAGCTTCTTCAAATAAGAGTCTGATCTTCTCTCCTCTTCTCTTTCTACTCAATGAACCCTCCAAGGCCAAGTGAGAGAGCTTTCAGTTGGTACCCGAGTGCAGGGCAAGCAAAGGGCGGCTTCCCTCTTATCCCCAACTCAGACATTTCTTCAGTGTTGGGGAGCATGGCTGAGTTGTGAGGAGAGAGAGGCTAGCACCAAGGTGGGGTCTCACTGGGGCTGGCGGCTGCCCCATGAGTGGGCCGCCCATCACGGTCACTCCTCAGGGTCAGTCCGGGAAGTGAGGGTTGAAGCACGGGAGGCAGTGAGCCCTCCCAGGGAAGGCAGAGCACTTCCCCTCTCCTCACTTCTACACCCACCATAGTCTTGGGATTGTGAGAAGAAAAGACCTTCCTAGAATGACTACCCCACCCTCCATCTCAGGACTCTCTTTTGGATACAGTTCACATTCCAGGATGGAAATGACAATAGAAAAGTCTTGGTTTTCTTCTTGGGTTCCAGAAGCTTCTTGGGCTGCCCACAATCCCAGGACTGGTGATGGGCTGCGTGGCCTCATGGAAGGTTCCTGAATGAAGAGCCAGGATAGCCAGGACATCTGTCCTCTGGCCCAGTCTGGACCACCATTGTGCCTCAAGGGTCCTCAGAAGTCACTTCTCTCATAGGGCCTTGTTTTTCTCACCAGTAGCATGGGCAGCAATGACTGGAATCTCTGTCCAAGGCCTTATGGCCTCAGTTTCTGAGGTTCCCAGCCCCAGGCTGAACCTGAGGAAGTGACGGGTGTGATGAGGCAGCAGGGGAGCAGAGAGGGGGTGGGGGCTTGGGGAAGGTTGTGAAGAGGAAGGACATTGGAGGCTCTGAGGAGATTTGATTGCCAGTGTTGGCCAAAGCTGCCTCAGACCCTCAGTGGAAAGACCACAGAGTCTGAGAGGCAGATGGACTGAGTTTGAGGCCTGGCTGATGGGAAGCCTCGGATCAACCAGTACCAACTGAGATCTTCTGCATGCCAGGCACTGTGCTAGGCACAGGCCCCACACTGTCCATTCAGTCCTCATAACGGCCCGGTGGTCTTGGCACCACAATCACCTCCATCTTAGAGAGGAGAGAACGGGGCCTCAGAGATGTGAAGTGACTTGCTCAAGGTCACACAGCAGCGAGTGAGATATGGTGGAGTTTTGAAGCCCTGTCTGAATGACCCTACAATGCTCATGTATTTTCATTTGAGGGCCTCCATGACTTGAATCTTAAGGTTAACCAAATCCTTTAAGCCAGATCACCTCTTGAAATCACATTGCTTGAAAGGACATAAAAATGATTTGTTTCCTTATTCTAGATTTTTGGCTTTGACACTTGGGGCTCATCGTGACATCTCTGCAGGTCTTGGTTTTCTGATCTCTAAAATGGGAGCATAATGCTACCCAGGGGTTTGTTCTGGGGAGAAGATGAGATGAGGGAGGTATAGACCCTTCCCTAGCCACCCCCCCCACCGCCTTCCCACCCCAAGACTCCTGGTGCAAGGGTCGATGGGATGTACACACTGTGGGGTGCTATACCCCACCATGTGATGGCATATGTGGTTCCAGCTGCCTCTGGCACTGTGGTTGAGAAGCACTGGGCCACTTTCCCGGTCATTGATCTGATACTCGCCTCATCCTTTCACTTCTGGAGTGTACCGCCAGCCGGCTGGGGTGTCTCAAGCCGGAACCCAAGGCATGGTGGCTGGCTCCCAGAGGGATAACGCAAGGCCAAACGGCCCTGGGTAGACAGTGACTGGGGAGCATGAGGCCCCCATGTCGTGCGGCTCACCCCGCCCTGCCAGCTGCCTGGGCCAAAATCTCACCCGCAGGCTCCTGGCAGCCAGCCCTGCGCCCCACAGGAAGCCACTGGCTTATCACAGAGCCAGCATCCCGCACGCTTTTCTTAATCAGGAGAAGGCGCTGAAGCGAGTCAGGAAAAGCTTAACTTCCCCAGGACTTTTCTGCTGGGGATGTTTCTCCATCGGGGGAAAACCATGGGCCTCAGTGTACGAGAGGCAGGAAACTCTTTAGCACAGAGAAAAGCAGCCGGGGTGCTTTTGTTCTCAGTTTGCCTTCAGGAGGCTGCAGGGGAGCAAACTGATTCAGATTCACCACCCAACCACCTTGTTAGCTTGGAAGCAGATGGGTGTAGAGTCCCGGGAAAGGACAAAGAGGACCGTCACCGGGAGGCAGACAAGCATGTGCCACTGTGGGAAATGTCTGCTGGCCTTTGGGGCCCGGACTGGTGGAGGCTGGGTCCCAGCTCCGCTTTTCGGGAGCTCTTTGACTCCCGTGAGTGATCTCGTGTCCAGAGTCTCCGTTTTTTCACCTGTCAAATGGGCAGATAGCACGCTCCTCACTGGGTGGCTGTGATGGGGAGGACTCTCCTGCTTGCTCTGAACAACAGAAGCCCCCTGGGATCATGTGGCCTCCCAAGGTGACCTCCTTGAAGAGGCTTGGGCTCTTGGGATGGACGAGCTGGGTGTTTGTGACCAAACAGGGAGGTTACCGTGGAGACACATACCTCTTTCTGAATGCGTGGTCTAAAAAAGGGCCAAGAGGGGGGCCTGGGTTGTGTCAGCTCTCTGTTCTGACACCCCGGCGTGTGGGGCACACCCCAGGTGTGAGTGTGAACAGTTCTTCCTGAGCCTTTATCCCGTGGTTTACACTTCCCTCCCGATGACATTTACAGGACCCTTTCTGTAGATAATTGCTGATCCTCCCCACACCCCAAGATGTAGGTGTTAATAAGCTCTTTATAGGTGAGGATAGCTGGGATTCAGAGAAATTGTAGATTATTCCGGGTTTCATGTCCAAAAAGCGGTCAGACTGGGACCTAAACACAGGCCTCCTGTCCCAAGGATGCTGTGTTGGCTGGCCACAGCACCCACAGTGCCCTCAAATCTATCCCACGTGGCAGCCACCCTTCTACACCTACGAGGTCGACAGCCGCTCCCCACAGCACCGCGGTGGCTTCCCACGTTGCCAGTGACAGCACTTGTAGATCCTCCGTGACTCCCCAGAGCACCCCCAGAGGCACCCACAGTATCCACAAGGCCCCCCGCAGGACTCAGGGTATCACCCTGTCTCACTCATTGTGGCCCTCCTCCTACATTCTCCACCCAGCCTTGCATGGAATTCAGAGCTCTGGGAGAAAGTGGTCCCCTGATGGTTTTAATCCCCCCCAGCCAGCCCTCTCCAGCATGTTGAGTGAACTAGTGAAGGCAGTTTCGAGGAAGCTGGGGCTCTTCCCCGTCCTGAGATCTGACAACAAGAAGCAGGTGGCAAGGATGGGAAGACAGAAGCCTGGCTGCCCCAGGAGAACCTGTACCTGGGTTCCAGTTTATCTCCCTTTTCTTTTGTTGCTCACGCTTTTGGGTGTCATACCTAAAAATCTATGGCCATATCCAAGGTCAAAAAGATTTACCCATTTGTTTTCTTCTAGGAGTTTTATGGTTTTTAGCTCTTATATGTAGGTCATGGGTCCATTTTGAGGTAAGTTGTGTATATGGTGTGAGGTAGGGGTCCAACTTCATTCTTAGGCACGTGGTGGTTATCCAGTTCTTCTAGCCCCGCTTGTTGAAAGGACGGTTCTTTTCCCATTGATTAGTCTTGGCGCTCTTATGGAAAATCAATTTGCTGTAGTGTCTAGGTTTGTTTCTGGGCTCTCAGTTCCATTCCATTGGTCTATGTGTTCTTAAGCCTGTACCATGCTGGTTTTGATTCTTATAACTTTATATGTAACTCCTGGAGGAGCCCTAGTCTATTCTAAAGCTCCCTGGTAATTCTAATGTACCTCCTAATGTCCCTGAAATTTAAGAGGAAGATGAGGGTGGTTGGGAGACTTCCAGAATGATCTAGAGCAGTGCAACATGGAGAGGATGCTGCCCTGAGGGAAGCCGTGGTTATTGGGGTAAAGAGGTCATGATGGAATTGAGAGAAGTTAGGAAGGGAGGTGTTCCGATCCTCCCCAATCCTGGGAAGACCTTGGAGATGCCAAAGGTGAGAGTGGAAGCCAGTGGTCCTGCTGAGCTTGATGAACCTCCTACCCACCCCCAGGATGATTTGGAGCAAGATCTGGATGCTAGTCACAGCTCCGTTCCCCTGCGTGACCTCGAGCAGATTGCTTGACATCACTAAGCCCCTCACTGCCTCTATAAGATGGATTGGTACCCTCTGCCCCTGCTGCAGAGGGTTGAGTAGGGGTCTACAGGTCAGCTCTGCAAAGGCTGGGAGGGGCTTGAAGACAACTGAATGCTTGGCGGAATCTCTTATTCTGCTGAGCTCAAATGTTCTGGCACCCTCTGTTTGCTTGGCTGCAGAGAAGAGGCATCACCCCCTTCCCTCCAGGCTGCTCTCCGGCATCCCCACTTCACACACTTTACCCTTTGCTGGTGAAAGGTCATCGCTACCTCTGCCTCCCTCCAAGGATGCAGGTCTCGGTGCACTCCTGACTTTCTGTTCTCTTACCCTACTCTGGGAGAACTGTAGCCTGAACTGGGCATTTTCACAGTTCAACCCTCAGAGCTGAGGCCAGAGCTCTGGCCATGTTCTGACCCCCGCCAAGGTGGGTGGAACCAGCCCCTCCCTCGGTCCAGACCTCACACTTCTGTTCATTCAGCCGACGTGGCATGGGGTCTGGTGATTCCCGAATCCCGGTTGGATTCAAGCTCTCATCTTTTCATTGGCTCTTGCTATATACATCATTTTCCACCTAGTATTTATAAAACAGGGGGTAGTTTCATGCAGGAGGGAAAGCGTAGCTTTGTCACTAGATGAACTTCGGGGCTGTTGTTTAGCTACTTATGAGCTCGGGCAGATGAACTCCATTTACTCTCCTGTTACGTGAAGATAGTCATTGCTGTTGTGGGCATCGTGGTCAAGATTCAATGAGATGATGAATATCAGGTGTGTAGCCCATCACCTGGGAAGGAAGCAACATTCCAGAAAGGGTGG